AGGTGGCTCTTCTTCATTCTCTTTTCTCCAGTGCAAGGTGAGCCCCAGTTTGGCAGCTGGCATGCAACTTCATTCCTTCTGCCTTTTTTTTTACCTCTCATTTTCTCTCAGTAGTGCAAAAATAGTATCAGTAACACATTTATATCCTGCAGGAAAGGTAACATGTGGACAATGTTGCAAAACTCCAGGTGGGAGCTGTGGCTGTTGTACAGAAATGACATATGTAAAAGTTACCAAATATACACAGAAGCTTTGAAGGAGAAAGGTGTGATTTCAGAGAAAATTATCTCATGCTTCCTGAGACAAATGGGAAACCAGGTTGCTTGCCCCTCATGGGAGTTTTCATGGCACTGGATTACTCACAGATACCCCTCAAAGTCCTTAAGTGAGGTGAAGGACACCTTGCCTATGTCTGCCTCTCTTCAGTAAGTAAAGATATTGCTCTCTATTTAGGTAGAAGTGAAGGTTAAGATTAGGTCTAGTGGTGGCACAGGAGGATGGAGAGACTGAGGAGGACAGATCTCTCTGGAGGCTTTCTATCCTCCCAGTCCCTGGGATGGCTCTAAGCCATCTCCTGTCCCCAGCCCTGATCCAAGAGCCACCTTTTCCTGCCTGTGTGGCTCAGCCCTGTTCACTGCTGAGCCTATCAGTCCCTGAAAACTCTGAGCCTTCAATATCTGGCGTGGGGTGGGGGGAGGCTGAGGCTGAATTGAGATGTGACATCACTCCAGCACACCAGGCCTCTTGCTACCTGTATAAGCTTTCTTTGCTGGAAAGCTTCACTGCAGGCAGGGCTGGCTGCATGAGACAAGGAGGTTGACTTCCTACAGACCTCACGTGGCATCCAAAAACCTGCAAATCCTGCCCACAATGAGCTTTGTATCCTTGTCTATATGTCCGAGCACATTCATCAACAGTGCTTTGGTTTGGAGGCATGAATTCAGAGGTGTATGTGGGTCAGGACAGGACAGCTTATACCTCAGTTCCTTTACAAGTTACCTGTGTCCAGAATTACATATAGGAGAGTTGTCACTCTGCAAGTTATTGTGAACACTGCTGCAGTGCTTCTGAGGCACTCAGCTTGGCCTGAGGCCCCTAAGAAATGCCACCTCAATTTCTAGTTTCTGACAAACCATTACTACAGGGGCTGGACAGACACGGTGTGCCCAACACTGCTAACAGCTGAGTGACAGCAGTAGCATTTTGGAGCTGTGCTGATGAGAAAGTGCCAATGTTTAGTGAAAAGCACTTTTTTTTTTTTTTTTGTGGAAAACAAAGGTTTTAATGAAATTTATTTGTGTGGATAGAAAACCCTAAGTATTGTAAAAACCTCACAGACAGAATGTTTCATCCTAAACCAGAAATATTCCCATTGAAACCAGAGTCCTGTTTACTTCACAAGAACTATAGCTGCATTCCCATTTTCTTCCATGTGTAGGACTCCGTAGCTGGACTACAGCTTCCCCAGTGGCACTGCAGCCGAGGACTCTACCAGTGACAAGCTCCTTTTATTTTCACAGGCAGTGCTGTATCCTGAAGCATGAAATCTGTGCAGCTAACCCACAGGGAGTGTGGGATATCCAAACCCCCGTGCCTGTGTGCCACTGCTGCTCTGGTATGAATGAATGAAATTCTGTCTCTTTTATTCTCCCTCCTGCAATCCATTTTAATAAAAATCTAAATTTTCTCCAGAAGGGAAGAAAGCAGCTGATAAGGAGGAAACGTAATAATTATACAGAGCTAGTTATACTCGTTGTCCATCTGTTGGCTCTTGTTCTGCCAGTGGCTCCCTGGTAGTGTCCATCACTTCTCTGTCATTCAGCAGGGATACCCCCACTTTCATAAACCAGGGCAGTGAATGTCAGGCTTACAGCAGGAACTGGTGGGTCTTTACTTCAGCAGGAAGAGGGCCCAGCCCTGAACTCATCCCACTCAGCCAGATACTCTCCCAAAGTTGTGATCTTTTCAGCACAGATTTTGTCTTCTTTCATCTCATTCTGCATATAGACGTTGGAGCATAAGCTAGCTCCTGAAATAAAAATCAAAGCAGAGCACTTGACTTCAGAAGAATAGGAGGCCCAAAAGGAAAGAAAGAAAAGAAGAAAAAAAGAATGGGGCCTCTTAGGTAGTGGGTTGAACAGATGCCATGGGTTGTTATAGCAACTTGAGTTCTAAAAACAGGAGAGAATACCCACATGCTGCCACACCTACTGAAGAACCCACACTCCAGATTTCAAAATTGAGGCTTTGAGGAAACACCTATTTCCTATTATTAAAAAACAAAAAAATCCCCAAAACAGTGCGTGAGGCATCCTCAGAAAAATCCACATACATCATCCTATGAAAGAAAAGAGCTCTTTAAGATGCTTTGGAAAGGCTCATGGTATCATTTGTTTATGATATTTAAAGCAGTGTGTGTGCATGCCTGTATGCCTGTGTGTGATGTGGATTTCAACTCACAAAGAGAACTTGAAAGCCTTCCAGCAAAAACGAAAGCGCTCTGACAAAGAGCTTGTGAAGACAATAACTGGCAGCAGCAGATACCAAGGTGACAGTGAGTGCTGTAACATCAAACCTGAAACACTTACCAGTTTTGTGTACTTGTATGAGAAATAATGACTCCTCAGACAGTGTCTGTCTCTGTCAGTAGAGGGGAAAAGCACTGATTAGTAGTAAATCTAGGAGATAAAGCGTCAGGCAGGTATAATGGAAAGTTTTTATAGCAAAATAGCATGTGAAAATGTGTAAATCAGACCCCATGTTCTGGTAAAAGCCTGCATACTATGACCTAGGGAACTGAATAGGCATCTTTCTCTTGACTCAGCTGAGCACTGCATCAGGCCTCATACCTGCATATGAAGTGTTGCTTGGTTTAGGATCTTTATTTGTTCCGATTTTAACTAACTTGTGTAAGAGTGTAACACCCTAAGTTGCTCCCCTGGAAAAGGCAGGGGACTTCAAAAGCCACATTTTGTTATTATTTCATAGTTTTATTTTGTGGGGTTCTTTATGTCTGACTATTTGTGCTTAAAGTTACCTGTGAATTCATGCCTTGGGTAACCCATCCTCTAGCTGGCTTCACGTACCAGCTCACAGCACCAGACTGAGATCCAAGTCAGTGCTTTAATAAAGGCTGACTGCTGGGAAGGGGGCAAAGTGAGCACAGGGCTGCCCTTGACACTTGGAGAGCAACATCTGGACAGGCAGGAATTTTCTCAACAGGAAGGCAATAGAAAGACTGGACACAACCTTCAGTCTCTGCACTGTGGAGACAGCAGCTCCGCTCCAGGCTGGGACAGCCAGCTGGGGACTTAAGGGTGGCAGCCCTGGGGCACTTGCATGGGCACTCTTACCTCCCCAGCTGGTGTGAAGCAGAGCCTGGGGGCCCTGAAAAACAACCTCAGCAGCTGCCCCAACCTCTTTTTCCCTCTCTAGCGGGCACAAGGCAGCACAGAAGAGTTTTGAGGGTAGATTAATCAAAGCAAAATGTGCAGGTTGCTCAGGTATAGCAGTGAGGCAGTTCAGATGTGTGTCAGGGAGAAACTCTCCATTAACACCCATGGGAGTTCCCACAGTTAGGAGATTTTGCCTGCACAGCGCTCCTTGGAGAGAGAGAACGTACTGATTTTATATGATGGAGGGGTTCCCCTCTTAGCCCTCCATTTAGCTTCATCCATCCCACCAGCTCACATTGCAAAAGCAGAATCTGTGGCAGAGGATATGTGCCAGCAAGGAGAAACCATTGCAGAGCATGGTCATGTTTGTGGCCAGGACTGACAAGACACAAGTCTGATGGATTTTTCTGTGATTTCTTTTTCCTTTCAGTTCCTAATGTTGATGTTTTACTGTATTGGATTTTATTGAGATTTTTGATGGATGCTGGGGTATGCCCCTTTCCCTGGAAGAGCTACAGTGCCACTGTGCAGGCTGCTGCAAGCGTTCTCTGGCCTATTGGGTCAGTGCAGCTGGGTAATAAGCTGGCACAAACCTGCGAAGAGCTGAAGGAATCCTTGTTTGGCTGCAAGACAGTCAATGGCTGCTACAGCAGGCCCCAAAGTTACTCCCTAATGTCTTTGAACTTTTCTCTCCTACCTTAGTCTTTCCTAAAGGTATAATTTTCAGTGGAAGCTAGAGCAGGCCAGCTGGTTCTTTGTAACTCATCTTCCAAAAATAGTGCATCTGGTCAGAATTCCTCTTCTCTCTCCCTTTAATTCAAATACAGCTGAAAGATATTGCCCAAACATACCTCCAGTAGTAATAATATTTAACGATACATCTTCAGACAGAAAAGAGTATGGAAGCTATTAAACCCAGAGGCAAATATTTTCTGAGTTATGAGTGTGAGAAAATTGAGTCATAGGTAGAATGGGAATGGTTTTGCAATCTTCATAGCAGGTGTTAAACCCAACCTGCTAAAATAATTATTTATTTGTTTTAAAAGAGTAACCTTGGATTTTCAAAGCTATCCTGGAAGGGGTGTAGAGGAATACATTTTCATTGGTGCATAAATTCAGCTGGAGTTTCGGGAGGTAGGATGCGAATGAGAGGTACTAGTTAATGGAAGGAGGAGGTCTGGTTTTAAGAAAAATGATTAGAAAACCCCCAAACGTACCCAGGAATGGGAAAATCAAATGAAGTGTTAGATTTGTTTGATTTGTTGGTGAATGCCCAACCACCAGTGTAGAGCAGTCCATGGTAGAAGCTCAAGTGCACATCTAACATTGGTATGTTGTGGAACAGCTGTTTGACTTAATTCTGAGGAATTTGAGACAAAATAGGCTTTAAGAGAGATTTCTCCTGGCAAACTGGCACTAGTGCTATGTTAGACATGGTGCAGTTATTGTGTGAGCTGGCACAGAGCTTCTGCAAAGTCCCCAAGTGAAAGCTACCATGTAATGCTTCCTCTTGTATTCCATAATGGATTTGTCAGAGAAGCTTTTCTTAATGGTCATGTCTGTCACACTGAATGAGAAACACAGGGTTGTTTCTCCTCTCTGCAGAACTCAACATCATGGATAAAAGCAGGAATAAAAGAAACAGAGGCTCATGCTTGTACAAAACCAGCTCAGCACAAGGAAGGTGTCGGTAGCCGTGGGTCTACCTAGAAGAGCAAAGACAGCTGCTTGGCCTGTGAGCAGTTTGGCTGTGCCCTCCCAGGTGAGCTTGTTGGGTCTCAGCAGGACACCCCTTCTGGGGACACAGGGTCCCAGGCATGAAGGTCCCACCCTGCACCCAGGAGGGAAGCTGCAGAGTGGGTCCCCCTTGGGCCAGGGCCCTGCCGCAGTGGTGCCTGCACTGCAAGGTGCCTGAGCAGCAGCACTGTTCTCTGTGGCATGAGAGCCCCCATAGGAAGTGCCAGTGGAGATCCAAGCAATGCTGGGTGGGGAGCTATACATTTCTGTCTCAAGAAATGTTTCTGAGATGGACACAAATGAGACCAATGAAAGTTTCATTCTATGAAAAACAAACCAGACCAAAGGGCATTCACGCAAAGGCAAATCCCTGCTCTGCCTGATCAAACCTTGATTTTTTTATGTCCGTAGTTTCCCTCTCAAGATTTCCTTTAGGCAATCTCAGTGGGAATGAGGAATAATGTGGGAAGGAGAGTTCATCTGCTTAGCAAGCAAAGAGGTCCAGACTCCCATTTTACCTCCAGAGGAGGCAAGAAGATTTAATTGTTGAGATCAACTAGAAAATGGGATGCGGTCTTCATTCTCCAGTGGGTGGTGGAGTGGGGAAGGAATAAAAGACCAGATTTTGTCCTTGAGCTTACTAAAAACCCTTCTGAGCCTTCTTTGAAAATAATTCCTGGCACAGTCAGCTTTAAACCTAAGTTTGACTTTTTTTTCCTCTCCTTATACCAAACATGATTAGAACATAGTATGGATTAATTGCTCTGCCAAATGTCATTCCTATAAATCAAATCTGTTTTCTGACATATGAGTGAGTGTCTGAATACTCCAAAGCCATTAAAAATATCTGCATAATTTTAAAACCTGCTAAATGTTGTTGTTTTCTCTCTCTCTCTCTTTTCATTCTTGGTACAGTATGGTATGTTACTGTGATGATGAGAAGTTGAATGGCAAGTTTCAGTCAAATGCAGGTTTTTTTTTGCAATCCAATCCTAAAATCTTGACAATGGCACTTACAGTGGAAATGCCACCAACTGTAAATTTACACACGGACAAAACTTGGCATCCCTAATCAGCTCTTCTTCAGGCATAACTTGTGGGATCTCTGCCCACATTCTCTCTGCAGGAATTGGTGTTATCCCACTATTGAAGAATTCATGTGTTAGCGCCCCAGGTGTATAACAGCATGCGGGACAGAGTCTCCAGGGCTCATCCTACCGGTCTGTCCTTTGTTTCCTTTTTAATACGGCCGAAGTGCCTGTGGTAATAATGACCACCGCGCCATCTGATTACTGTATCCTGCAACTACGGCCGGTGAAAAATTACCCAGCACAGCATCTTTTTTCCATTGGTAAAGGCTGATTCAACATATCCGAAACAGTTTGTGGGACTTCAGCATTTCTGCCAGTTCTTGAAAGGAACCAGCCACATGGGCAGGCAGATCTGTTCCGGTGCGACTGCCCTTCTCCTGAGACCCATGCGTTTCAGGGCCAGGTTTGTGAGTGGCTCATTTCCTGCCCCTATCCATGACCCCTGTCAGTCTGTTCATCCTCGTGTTGGGACACAGTCACCCTGGAGAGACTAGCAGCCTGTGTGACAAACTGAAACATTCATTTGGGATCTCATACGCTTATTTTAGCTTTTTTTTCCCATGTCCCCCCCTCCCTGGGGTCACCCTCCTGCAGTGGGGGACACACAGAGACATCTTCAACAGTTCTTGTCTTGATTTAGAGGAACTGTTTTTATCGTCTTTTACCAGAATCAGTTCGGTTTCACAGTTGTCTCTCTCAGCTCAAGTGCCTGGACAGAAAGACAAATTGCTTTAACTGGCCTCATCCTCGTCCAGAGCCTACCAGCACCCACGAGGGCCTCTTCTTGCTCAACTGAGTTTGTGAGCAAGGCTCAAGGGGCCAGTGGAGTAAGTGCACTGAGTAATCTGATGGCTTTTCAGGTTTCCCTCTTGGACCTGCAGTTGTGTCCTTCTGCCACAAAGGCAGATAAAAAGGTCTTAAACCATTTGAGAAAGGGGCCAGTTTGGTGAAGAGAAGAGCTGTGCTCCTTCTTGCAGCAGAAACTGCCTGCTTCTGAGGTGGGCTCTCCTGGCTGCCCCGTGCCTTCTCCTTCAAGGCAAACATTACTTCTGCTTCATGCCACCAGCACATCTGTGAGAAGCCAAGGCAGCTGTGCCCCCCTGGGTGGAGGAGCACCCATCCTCTGTGTGCAGTGGAGAGTGATCCAACAGCATGTGAGCCTGACTCCAACAAGCTGTTTGTACTGGATGCACTGCTCACTATCCTGGGAGGCTCATCCTGGATTTCTTTGGTTTTTATTTTGGGACACCTGTTCTTCAGATCAAGCTCAGCTGATTCAGTTCAAGAAGTCTTCCATGCCCACTGTCCTAGGATTTTGTTGCATTTTGTCTATTTGCCCCTCTAGCTAGTTTCTTTCAAAGGTCTATCTCAAAGAAAGATGCTTCTTTGACACTAAAAGCTGGAATTTTTTGGCATTTCCAGTAATTTTCTCCTTTTTTTGAGGAGTTTGCTCAAGTTGACTAAATTGTCAGGCACTTTCAGTCATCCTAATTATTTTTTTTTTTTTTTAACAGATGAATTATAAGAATGATCTCCCATGATACTTTTCAAACTATTTCTCATTGGAACAAATTCGAACAATTACTACCCAGCATCAAGAGCTATGCCGCACCACACTCTGATGAAAATGGACATGGGGCATAATGTCATTAATTCAGTTCGTATCTTGTGAGTATTGTGTGGCTGAACATGATGCTGTGATATGGAAAATGCAGTTCCTGCCGTTTTACCCTCTCTGACAACATTTTCCTCTGAACTGAAGCAGCACACTGGGAAACTGGGTTCCTCAATTTCATAATTTGCCTAAACCCTAAGTCTGTTGGCACCAAGATCTAAACAGAAGGGCTGAGAAGGAGAGATGTCTGAGGAAGCAAGTAATTTTGTGTGTCTACCAGTGCTGTAAGACATTGGTAAAGTGTCAAAAAGTCCTTTAATGGCAAACATCCTTAGCTCCTTCTTGCCAGCAGTGGGTTCCACCTTTGAAGAGCCATTTCTCCTGGTTTTAAACATAAGAACAGAGCAAAACTATTTCAAGACACCATAAGGCCTGCTAAGACTAATGTGAAGGACCCAAAAGAATCATCATCTTCCAGTTCAGCATGGCTTCATTAAAACTGCCCAGAGCAGTCAAAGCAGTGCAAGACAGTGTTATCCAGCAAAGGGTGGTGGGGTGTGAGAGTGGAACTGGTTTTGTATCATCATTGATCTTGGGCAGGTTTTACCTTTCTTTTCTGTTCCCGTATCTTGATTTGCCTAATCTGTGTATTTTGACTGTGAACTCTGTAGCTGAAACTATTTTGTACTAAAAAGAAACACATGTGTACACCACATCTGGGGTAACAAGAAAAGGACTGTTTCTATGGAATACATATAAGGGGACCCACTGATTTGGAGACCTTATGGTGAAAACTGTGTGAGTGCACAAGCACAGAGTGCACTATTATTTGTGTCTGGGCTTATGCAGCTTTTAAAGTAGAGAGTTCAGGTTATAGGCAGGCAGAGGATTCAGTAACACATATGAAATCTGGCTGTTGCTGAGTGAACCTCACTGAGTTAGGTTTCTCCTACCATCTCTGAGCCTCTTCAAGGATGCTGAGGAGGATGTGCTGAGAGCTGTCAGCCTGCCATTCCTCCCTGAGAGCTAGGTAAGGACCAGTAAAAATGCTGCTTAATATTGTTAGGTACAAAATAGGTTTGTAGCTTGAAGTTGAGCCTGGAAATGGCAATGCAAACCATATATAAATTGGACCTGCTGAGTCAGTATTCCTCCCAGGTTATCCTGCAGAGAAGCTTAGCCTGAAGTCTTCACTAGCACAATACAGTATGTCCTGGGTGGAGGTTAAAGGCCAAAATCCTCTCTGTGCACGACTGGTTTTCCTTTGCTTTTCCTTCGCTATGGAGCCAGAAGACGGCAATAGAAGTAGCCCTCCATGAGGCTTTATTAGCATTAGCTGTCAAAGCCACCTGCATTTGTAACCCATCAGTGTATTTTCCTCAGTATCATTACTTGTTTCATGAATATATTCTTCCCACATCTTTTCAGCCCAAATTCCCAGTAACAGCCTGGGAAACCAAAGCAGGTAGAACAACTTTTTAAGCAAATTCCCTCTTTTTGTTTAAGAATGCAGCTTTGCCCAAGCAAAGATGATGAAGATAGAAAGTAATGTTTTTATTAGCTTTTTGTCTCAAAAATATTGTTATTACATAACTCTAAGCCAGTATCTGGAATTGTGTCAGAAGATAAGCTGAAGCAGAAGTAAATGTTTCCCTCATGCACACTCTACATAACCAGCACTTATTAAGGAAAAAGGTTTGGTTTTAGAACACAGCTGTACCAAGCTGCATGGCTGTTGTACGTATGCATGTATGTTCCAGCCAACAACTCAGGGGGAATGAAGGTCAAATACAGAAATGCCCAGAATCAGCTGAGGTGGAGAATGCAAACAAACCATCGGTGGCTTCACATTTCTAAAAGTCTGTATAAAAACCCCAAAGATTTTGGGGCTAGTAAGGTTTATGTTAAACATACTTTGATTAAAGCATTTCAAATCTGCCCGAAGTAAGCCCTCCCCCACTACAGAGTTTTGCTACACCAGGATAGGCAGAATACTCTGCTACTTGTCACTTTAGTACCTGTGAACTTTTGAATTGGCTGCTAATGGGCTGGCTGGAGCCTGGTGGGAGTTAGGCAGGGGATGAGCAGCCTTTTTGGAGCACAGCACAGTACTTCATTTTTCTCCTGGAGGTAGATCTTTTTGCTTTAGTCTGGAAAGTCTTTCTATTTTGGTTTCTTTGTGGGTTGTATTTATTTATTCCTCATATACTCTGGATCCTAGTCGTGCTCCTTTGGGAAAGAGCGCAGAAGTCTAGGGGTTTATTTTTGTGCTCTGGATGAGGTTGGCAAAGCTGGAAGGCTATGCTGAATTAGAGTAGA